CAATTGAAACTGGTTTTTAAAGCTGATGATCACTTAATTTGCCTGATGAAGACTACTGATTTTGAATAAATGGACAGTAAAAGTAGATGTCAGAAAGTTCCTCTCTTGATGGTGCAGCTTTACTGTGACATATTCAAGTGATGGAGAGCCCAGTGAGAAGAAGCAAGCAGTCTGCAGAGTGGTAGCATCAGCTCACTTGAATGTGGTATAAACCTTTCTCATGTGTCTCTGGACACCATCCCTGGTGTGCTTTGTCAAGTGAATTGTTGTCCACAGACAGCTGTAGGCACGAGGGGGCAATATCCCTGGGATTTATCTGCGGGATGCACCGGAGGCTGTGTCTGCCTCCGCAGTACTTCATTTGGGTGTGATGTTGGGCAGCTCTCAGTCACAGGAGGGGCCTGGAGAGGCTTCAGCTGCCTCAGAGGAGGATGCTGAGCACTCCACATCCCACATCTCCCATGTAAACATCTCCCTGCTCTTGGCACAGGACCCTCGCTGCGTGTCAGGTGCTGGCTGCTGTCCTGGTCTCTGCTGGGGAGAGACACCTCTGCAGCATGAGGGCAAGAGCTTTGAGTTCATTCCATAAACACCTCTTGGATTTGGAGCAGTGGTGGGTTTTCTCCAAGTTTCAGGTTTGTCAATAAATATTTACATTGCTGACAAATCCTAACCTTGAAGAGGCACTGCAGCGTGTCCAGCAGTTCCCAGCACTGAAGGTATTTTGGAGTGGTCTGTAAAGACCTGGAATGCCATTGTGATGTTGTGCATTGGGCTCTGTGGGTGTTGGATTAGTTTGACTGTGGGCAGCAGATGTTCCTCATCCAAAGGATTGGACATATTTTAGCTGGTCTGGAGAGTTGCTCTCCACTCTCTGGCAGGAAATAATACCTGGCAAGAGCTCATTACGTGTGGGACGTTGAGCAGTTCCAGTAAAGGATGAACAGACACCTCCTGAAAGTTCCCTGTCACTGTAGACTCGGGGATTGTCAGAGGTACCTTATTTCTGTTCTGTTCAGCAGTGTGGCGTCACGTTGGAGATGCAGTACCTGCCAGAGCTTACTGTATTTTTTTTAGTTCAGCCTAATCAGATATCTAACCTTAGCCTTTTTGGAAGTTTCTGGATGCTAATTGCAGGCAAAAGGCATCTGTCATGTAGTCACAGCTCTGTTATTTCCAGGCTCCACAGCTGCCGTGGTGCTAATAGACATCCCAGAGCTGAGCCCGTCATCCATAGAGAAGAATATAAACTAGGGAAGCTTTCTCTGCCTGCCTGCCCCGTGGCTGTGAGATTGTTGAAGGCCTGGGCCCTGAAGATACACACTTGAGACCCAGAGAGCTTCTGGCTGTCCTTAGGAGTTCCCCAGCTTGGCTGCCTGTGCTCTGGTCAGTCTTGCAGCCTCCTGCGGCTCCCCGGGTGCTGAGCGAGGTGTCTGTCCTACCTGGAAGCAGCAACACAGCTATTTCCATCTTCAGGACTATCTGGAAAGCTTGAAGAGGAATTCTTTAACCTTTGAATTATTCATCTAGAATTTCAAGCAGATGTTGTGTTTATTTGGGGATGGCACGCTTGAGGGCGAGACGCGATCAATAAGTACTTACATGTCTTTACTGAAGCATGTTGTCTTCTCCTGAGGACATCAGAGATGATGCTTTAATATCTTGTGCTCTTCAAGTGAGAGGTGTGTGGTTAGACCTGGGGGCTTGCAGAATGAGGGCCTGCTGTGTGGTTTTCCCAACTTAGTGGTTTGTTCCTGGCTCACATCCTTTGATAGGCGTGTGCTGAGGATGTTCCCTGCGTGACTCCCTTCTGGATCAGGTGGGCTGCTTGGGTAGCTAAAATTTGCTTTACTCAAAGCAGAAGTTGTTAACAAGCTTCTGAGAGTGGCTGCAGTGCAGGGGAATGTGTGTTTCCCCCTGTTAGCTGCGGTGTGGTGTCTTTAGAGATGGAAGCTCCCTTGTAATCTGTGTCCCTGTCCCCTTTCCCGTGTTCTCTCTCTTAACAGACTGTGTCATTATTAGCTTTACTAAGAGCTCTATTAATTTTACAGGTTTTTTTCTCTAAAAGATTTAAAACCTAAAGTGGTGTCAGGGTTGAAGCAATCCATTTGAGGGCAGAAATTGAGTCCCAGCTAACAGCACATGGCTTTTGAGGCAGAGGTTCTGGATACGTGATGGATTATTTAGGAGTTAGTAGGAAAGAGAGCAAATGCGCCCTAATAGGAGTAGTTGCTGTTGAATCCATTTGAGCTGGATTCCACATTAACACTCTTCTCAATATTTTCAGCTCTTTGCAAACACATAAGTAAAACTACTTTTTGCAGTAAGCTTTTCTGACTATTTTGTACACTTCTTAAAAGATATTTCAAATATTTTAGTGTCTGTACAGTTGAGAGGTATCTTGGAAGGACCTTTCTACTTGAAATGCATTTCCTGTATCTAATGCTGTCTCATGTGGTCTTGCAAAACCCGTTCTACCTATTAAATATGCAGTAAAGCTGTTCTGTTTGGTAGAAGATTGTATGTTTAAACAGCAGAAGTCCTCGTTGCTCCTGTATTTTAAGATTAAAAATTCAACTGCAACACTACCTTTAGATTCAGAGCCGTTAGAATGGATTTTTCAGATTTATTCTCCTGATTACAATACAGAAAATTAATTGCTTTTGACTGTAAAGAATTATGACTCTTTCATTATTTAAGAACCTTCTTGATGGATGAACCTTTTCCACTTACTTGAAGACTTCCTATGAAATATGGCTGGGTTTTTAATTGGTATAAAGCATGATGCACCTATATCAAACAGTGGCTGCACTGCCCACCCTTTGGGGTAGGGAATGGTGGAAAAGAAAACCAGCACCTCGTCTGTATGTAGTTTGCTTGAGTATTCAACATAAAAGTAGTAGAGCCTGCTGGGAGAAAACAGGTAAGTTACTTCAATGGCATTTAAAATAAATAATTTGGGTTTATAAAAGAAAGATTTATTACTTCCTTTAAATGTCCTGGTAGTAAGGAATAGCCTTTAATTTTGCTTGTGTGTGTATTGGAAGTGTTTGTGTCACACTGGGGAGAAGAGCTTGGATTTAACTCGAGGTGTGTTCCTTACTGGTCACAGCTCAGTTTCTGGCTCCTGGTTCTTATGCTGCCAGTTCAGATGGTCTCAGATGATTTTTGTGTGTATTTAACGCTTTAGTCTTGTCCTTTTAGTAGACTTAGACAGGAGAAAAAGTCAAATTATAGACCTTGTTGATTAAAACCAACTGAGGAGCTAAAATCAGGATTTAGTTACCTGTCAGCCCAGAAGGGTTTGCTCGGTGCCCTTTGCAACCAAAACCATCACAGAAATAAACACCAATTTTGTTAATGAGACAGTTGTCTTCCCCCCCCCCAAATCATAGAATGTTTTGGGTGAAAGGGACCCTTAAAGGCCTTCTAATCCAACACCCCTGCAATGAGTAGGAACAGCTTCAACTAGATCAGGTTGCCCAAAGCCCCATCCAACCTCACCTCGAATGTTTCCAGGGAAGGGGTAGCCACCACCTCTCTGGGCAACCTGTGCCAGGGCCTCACCACCCTCACAGGGAAAAAATTTCTTCCAAAATAAGACCCGGAGCATGTGGATCTGATGTCAAATATGGTAAATAGAGCTTTAACTCATTATAGTACAGGTTTTTTCCTAATATCTTCATGGTAATTAAATTTTTGATTAGGTAACAATGATTTTGTAAAACTTTACTTTGAGAACAGATTACAGTAAATATTGTCATCAGGGTTTTAGCCTGGCCACTCAGTGGAGGAGGGAGTCAGAGTTGTCCAGTGCTGCAGTTTTCAGTTCATCTGTACAGTCCTCTCCAGTCAAATTCTCGAGTCTCAATTTTTTTGCAGTTGTCTTAACAGAGCCTACATTTATAAAAGTAAGTTACTAGTGATGTTGACATTTCCTTGTTACTATTGGATTTAAAGCTTTTGCATAATATATTCAGAATACTGTTTTTTCTCTTATGTGTCTTACCTTTGCTTGTGGGAACAACTGGTTTTGCAGTTGAGATGCTTTTTCTCGTAAAATTATTCTCTAAGAGTTTAGGAAAATAGATATATCATGTGCTGCTTTGAAGTATTTAGAAGGATTTAAGAGGCAGTTTGCCAACTGACATTTAAAACCCTTGAGGACTTGTTCCAGCCAAACCTTTTGGAAATAAAGTAAATGCAGCTAAGGCTTAGTTACTAAAATGATTTTAGCTGGCAGTTGGGTGCATGTAATCATCTTGGAACATCCTGGAACTTGTTCTTTCGTTCAGCTCTTGTATCAAAGGCTTTTGGGTTGTGTCCGTGAACTTGTCACTTCTCAAAATCAGAAATCCTTCCCATATTACTGAGGCACTCTGGCTCTGAACGTTGTGTTTGCTGTGGTGGCCCATAGACAGAAACTTTCTGTACAGGGAAGGCACTGTGACACTTCCCAGATGGCTGTGACTCAGAGCTGAAGGGATGTCTTGCTAGCTTGACATCTCTGAACCATACGGACTGTGTGTCCTCGCTAAATTGTTGGCAGGGTGGTCCTGTTGGAAAAGCCACGCTCCTGGCTGGCAGCATGACCAGCAGGTGGTCATGGTGTTCCACCTGGTGACTCAGGGGGACCCCCAGGTCAGAGCCAGGGCCCGGCAGCTCTGCCAGCTGGTGCTGGGGCTCACGGTGCCGCCTGAGCTGTTCTGCTGCAGGGACTCACAGGGGTTCAGCCTCAAGGGCCACGAGTTTGGCTTGGCTTCGGTTTTCACTCTCATCTTGCTCGTTCAGGCAGTTTTGCTAGTCAAGAGACGTGTTGTTTGGGAAGAACCTGTGCAGCCCAGCTCACTGAGGGGCTGGCTTTGGTGGGGTTCTGCCGAACGGACTGGCCCAAACCTGCCTTGCCTGCTTGGGACAGTGGGTGTAGACTGGTCTTTACATATTGTGAAAGGGTGAGCTTTTGACACCTCTGCTTGAAAAGGGAGGAAGAAAGAGGCAAATTCGGTTTTACAGTATACACAATTTTAATAACAAAATGCTTCTGTACACTGCACTTGTTTTACTCCATTACTCACACCCCCTCCCACCAGAAGTTGGCTCTTGAAACGTAATTTAAACACGACTCATCTAGGACTCTCTGTAATCTCAGGTTGCTAAGCTGGTAGAATAGTTCACTTACTAGTGTTTTCATTAGTAAAAGAAAAATGGGATGGGTTTTGTTTGACTTTTTACAAAGGAGTAGTTGGAGGATGGCAGGCGTAGCTTCTCAGTGCTTACACAGAGGTGTACAACCTGCATGGTGTTTTACCCCATCTAAGGCTTTATTATACCCCTCAAAGCTTCTGTTACCTTTCCCTAGAAGCCTCTCTAAAGGTATATGAGATGTGAAATGCTAAATTTCCAGCTGACTCTGAAATAATCTTTAAGCATCCTGCTAATGTGGCACCTTAAAAAGCAGAGCCCAGCACTAATTTTAGCATCTGGGACATTTTGCAATGAAAGAAGGTGTGGGGAGGGAGGAGCTGCTACTTTTGACTTTTGTTGTTTCCTTGTCTCTTCCTTTTTGGGGGGGAGAAGAAATACTGTATCTCCCTTTGAACTTGTTAAATTTTTATGGAAAACTTCATAAGAAAGATGAAATTCAGCTTCTGGGTAAATTTCATAGGTCTGAACAGATGGATTTTGATAGCTACACAGATCACAAAATTAAATCAACTTTATTTCCATTAAAGTAGTACAGAAATTACCTTAGACACATTAAAAATAAGTGTGCAGTGCAGATTTCTGGTTTAAAGCCACTGGATGTTTCTGATTTTACATGTTAGCAATAGGCCACTGTCTCCTGAGGGATGTAATGGGACAGAAGCTCAGATGCTCAGATTTACATGCGGCTGATCGCTGAGGAATCGGATCATTTCTGCTTGGGGGAGAAGCAAACAAAACCAAACATTGATAGAGCAGCATTCATTACGTTTCCATCTGATAGGGAATTGGAGCTCAGTGCAGAGGAACACTTCAGCTGGAGACTAAACGCTAACCCATTTTACCCTTCATCGAGTAATTTTTAGCTGTGTGCATTTAAACACTGATCTAATGCAGAGCGACTAACTGAGAGCATTAATTCAGCCCTGTTCCAGGATGATGACTCAAAAACTGAACCTGTGCTGCTGGGTTTGCCTTTCACTGACACAAGGGTGGGGAGCAGGAGAAGCTGGCTGGAGATCAGCAAGCCTGGAGATCTTTGGGTGGGACGAGGACCTTAAGAGCAGTACAAGAAATTCCCTTTCTAAAAGGCCCTGAACACCTGAGGCTGTGCCCAGAGGTGTTGAATGAAGCACCTGTAATGCCATTTAGCATCTGTAGAAACTGAGGCTGTGCAACAGAGATGGTATTTGGAGAGAGCACGTTAACAAGCTCTTGTCATCAGCCAGCGCTCGTATTGAAATACGATTAATTTAAACCAAATCATCGTGGTTCTTGTTCCACAAACAAAATAAATCAGAGACTGCCGAGTAGCACAATTATTACAATCCCCTCCTTGCCTGGAAGAGTCACAAGCAATTGCAAGTGGAAGACAGTAACTTTAAAATAAGAAATATTAACAGCCTGTGGCTGTGTCCTTGTGCAGAGCGATGGCTCTGCCTGCCATTCCCTGCCCCTCCGCAGGGAATCCAAGTCGACTTCACTGCTAGTGTTTGACATTCTGCGAGTTTTATGATACCTGTTACCCTAAATGTAATGTTTGCAGAATTGCTTTGCTTATGCCTGGAACCTGGCAACAAATGATTTTGGAAGTGGCAGCCATAAACCACGGCATTTGGGAGATTGGCTGCGTATTAGTGTGGAGTACAGGGAGTCACCGTGAGGGAACGGTGCCTGCTGGGCTCTGCTGCTGCCTCCTGCTCAGCTGTCTGGGAGCCAAGCACTGCAGGACCACTGGAAACTGGGGATGATGGTGGGGGAGAGAGGTTGGGTGCCTGGGTGGGTTTGCTTGGAGAGGCACTGGAACAGCACTTTAATGCCTGGAAAGCCAGTGCGAGTGGCTGGGATGGAGAAGAGGGTTCAATCCAGCATTGCTGGAACATCTGTCTTTGCTCTGCTTGGGCATAATTAAAAGCTAATGAAGATGGAGTGGTTTCTGCTCAGAGCTGGGTTGTTGGGAAAGCACCTTCTTGGGAGAAACCTCGGCTCTTCATGAAGCAGCCGCTTCTTGTTCCCATGTGGAAGACCGACATGGCACCCTTTGAGCTGTCCTACAGCAAGGGTTTCTGCTGGGCTGGAGGGCAGAGCTGGAACTCCTTCTTGCAGGTGCAGCTGGGGCCATCAGAGTTCAGTGTTGACATCTGATGGGGAATGACAGCGTAGCCAGATTATCTGGCTGCCAGGATAATTAACGAGCTCAGTGATAACTTTGTCTCTGCTGGTACCCTGCAGCTGTACGTGGAAGTCATTCCCACTGTGGCTGCTTCCCAATCCCCCAGTGCAGCCCCTCGTGATGGCTGGGTGAGGTGAGGGAGGTGCACAGGCAGGGCAGGTCCCTGCTGGCAGCAATGCCCGAGCAGAGCAGCAGCCTGGACCTCAGGGAAGAGCTGTGAGCACCTACTTGTGGGAAGGAATGAAGCAGGTCTTTCTACAAGCAGCTAAAACCCCCTGGATACCTATATGGGTTTGCATTTCTCAGTTTAGGTCTGGCCTGCTGCCTGACGTGGGATTTAATCATACAGAACATTTGCTCTTTGTCCACCTACCCCGCAGGACTTTTTTGTAGTCAGTTAAAAGCAGAAATTAATTACCTGGAATAGGTGTAAATGGACTCATTGTAGTATTAACAGTTACAAGGGTTCAAAGGTATCTCTGTGGAAAACCATTAGGCTTCACTGGATCTCTTCCATTAAAATACAGGGTCATGGGAAGTAAACAAAATACTGGTTTTATAAGGGCACTGTATGTAAAAGTAAAATTATGCAAATTAATATATTCAAACGCAGTAATTGAAAAACCTTTATGTAAAATCTTAACAGAAGTCACTTGTCTTCCTATAATTGCCTTGGACAAATTCATCTCACAAGAAAACATTGAAGTGTTGTATAATTGCACCCTAAATACCTCACCAAGTGGTAATACAGATAGAGAAAAGCAGAGTGAAATAGCCAACAGATTTTTATGCAGTGCTTTTTCTGTTTAAAAAGTTTGCAGGATAGTTTAGTACATCACAATTAGCATACTGTAATTATGGATTTGCTCAAGGTATGGCAACACTGTGAGGAATTTTGTTTCTTCATCGGGATGTGCTGGGAATTGTTTAACACTGCAGCATTGGACACAACACATTTTTTAGTTATACATACATGTATATATATATAAAATAATTCTCCATCCCTCTGGACCTTTTAGCTTTGGTTAGAATGTTTACAATAATTGAGTAGTTGACTTAAAAATAATGTAATCCTTTGCAGACCCCCCACCCCCCACCCTTGTGGCATCTGAGTACCACCATCACTGCATAGATCTGCAAATATTTACATATAATTTCATAATAGAGTATAAATAGCAATATGGTACTTCTGGCTAAAGAAACCAAATTACTCCTTAGAATGAGGTGCGTGTGTGTATATAGATTTATATACGATCTTTTAAAAAGTCATACTAGTTTAGAGTCTGTCCCATATCAAGTAAGAAACGAAACATTTTTCAGTGAACTATTCTATAATCTAATTATATTATCCTAACTTGTCAGAAGGGTTTTTTTTTAATCTTGAATTTTGGAAGAGGAGGACAAGTGAGAGCTTATATTACAGGGGCTGATTCTGTCTCCACAGAAACCAGTGGAGTTAGTGCATGAAAATAGCTTCCAGTCGAGAGGAAGCCTCGGCTGGGGGGGCAGCGGGGGGACAAAGAGAGGCTTCTTCCTTCCTTCCTTTCTTCCTTCCCTCTTCTTCTTAACCTCATCATTGGTATTTACTTTTAATTAAGAAAACCTTGTATTAAGGGTATTTACACATGAAAAGGTGTCGAAATGCTGTTTGTTCACAGTCATTAAGTAATTAGCCTGAATTCATGAAAAGCATCATCAAGTCAAACCAGGGAGCTGAGAAGTATTGAATGTACTTAATATTTAGAATCGATCCCGTCGTGCTGAGCCTCCCTAAAGAAGCTACGTGGCCATTTTGGGAACACCTGGAGGGTCGTCCTGTTCATGTGTGTGCCCACCCTGCCCATGTGTGTGTGCTCATGTGAACTGCTCCTTTCTGTGCCTGCTGTCCCTTTCACCGAGCCAAACTATGAATATGCAGAGAGCAAAACTGTATTTAAAACAAATTCACCGATGCCCAGTGCACTGAAATTCCCACCTGGACCTTTGCTGCTTTTTTTTCCCCCGTTTCCCCTGCCATCTCTTACTGGAGTGAAATTATCAGAGAAGGAAAATAAATCTTCCTCCTCAGCTGCCTTTAAAGTGCCCCGAGCCAGCTGCAGCGTTTGGGATCCTCCAGATGCAGTGGAACAAATGGAGTGTACGTCCCCCTCAGATCCCTGTACAGTGTCCTTCCCCTCGGACTCTTTTCATTAGAAAAAGTAGAATATGGAGACTTGGGTATAAATGTTTACACGCAGTCATATAATTACATAACATGAAACATTTTACATAGTTTGAGGTGAGCATCTCTTTAGACTTTTAAACGTTAGGAGTGCAAGTTTAATGTAATCATTGCTTCTTTAACACTGAAAATATTATGGATTTATTTTTTAAAAAACTTAAAAATACTGCACCACTCCATAAACAATGTTTCCATTAAGTAGCTTGGAAAATTAGGCTTTATGTCAACATTTGTAAAAATTAGAATCTGATGTAGGTCCCCTACAATTTTAAAATAGGTTACTTATCTGATTTACTTTGCGATGGGCTGTAGGTATTATACTTCACATTCTTTATAGGGCAGCTGCTGGCACTTGCACTGTCCATAGCCATTGATGATGATGAAGGGTCCTTCGTGGGTGGGTTCGTACTCGTTATAGGGTCCTTGGTCTGATATATTGGCCATATGCAGCCGTGTTTGGGATCGGAGCTGCCTGTGGTTTTGAATCATTGAGCACTGCCTAATTCTTCTTAGTGTAGGAGGGCAGCACTTCCTGGAGATGAACACTATAAAAATGATAAAAAAGAAAGAAAACAATAAAGCCATTGTTCCTGTAATTACCCTCTGAGTGAAGATGGCATTGTTTGGCTCGGGGAAATGTTCTTCGGTGGTAACGACCATGCCTGCCGTAGTTGGAATCTCTTTGTCTCCCATATGGAAATGAGAAGAGCTGATTCTTTTCGTGTACTCAGTAGTCGGGGCCGTGTACGTCGTAGCCACGGGTGTAACCACAGTCGATAAATTCCAGCAAAGCTGAAAACCATACACTGCATCCAGAATATCCTCTCCCTGGGTGTGGTCGGGGCTATGGCAGAGGATGGAGTGCTCCCACCGACCTTGGAAGCCACTCAACCATGTGGCCAAGGAGCAGATCTTTGGGCTGCATTCCCACAGATTGCCAGAGAGGCCCACGGTGGTGAGGGATGTCAGCGAACTTAGGATCTTGGAATCCAGAGTGGTGAGCTTGTTGTTATCCATGAGAAGGGTTTTAAGGTTAGGCATAGTTTCAAAGACGGTGAGGTCGATGGCTTTGATTTCGTTCCCAGTCAAATCGAGCTTTGCTAAGGTGCCCCAGGTCCACTCCATCCCACATGTCAAGTTGCTGATTTTGTTCCACTGCAAGAAGAGTGTGTGCAGGCTGCTCAGCCGGAGGAAGTGAGCAAAATTAATCTTTGTCAGCTGGTTGTGCTCTAGGTGAAGCTCCCTCAGCTTGATTAATCCCGCAAATCCATTGCGAGCCAAACTTCGCAAGCGGTTTGTGCTCAAATCCAGGAATTCCAGGCTACGGCAGTCCCAGAACAGGCGGACCGGGATGGTCCGCAGGGAGTTGGATCGCAAGTGCAAGGTCTGTAGCTTGCGAAGGCCGTAGAAGAGCTCGGGGTGCAGAGAGGATAACTGATTAAAAGAGAGGTCCAAATTCTGCAGGTTAAGCAGCTGGCTAAAAGTTGTGTTTGGCAAATGAAAGATTTTGTTGGAACTTAAGACTAATTCCTTAAGTTTATACAGTCCTTGAAAAGAATCTTCTCTGACTGTTGCAATTTGATTATGATCTAAGTGAAGCCAAGTAAGTTGACTGAAGCTTGCAAATTGATCCCTTTCAAGTTCAGAAATATAATTGTGCCTCAGTGACAAACCTAGCGAGCCCTTTTCAGTGGTGTTTGGCACTGAGTGAAACCCCTGAGAGTCACAGTAAAAGAGCAGCTTCTCACAGCGACATTTTGGTGGACAAGCCATGCCCAAGGCAGGCAGCATTTTTAAAACCATACTCATTGCATATAGTGCTGCCAGCATACGAGCCCCTAATGGCCACTTGAAATGTAAGCCTGCAGAATATAATTTAGGAAAACAACAAGATAGGATAGCCTTATCAGTACACTTGGAACATCACAGTGGAAGATTTCACTGCAGATAACATTGCCATGCATTTCCGACAAGCTAATTCTAAATGCAAGAAACAACTTACTACACAAACCGAATACTTGGACATTACACTTAGGAGGAGGCTTTATCTCGATTACGGGGGGTTTACAGTGGCACTATCAGAAAACATTTTTTTCCATAAGGTTCAGTGCAGAGCAATCAGCTTTAGCACCTAACTAAGTGCTCCTTTAAAGCAGAGCCGGTCATTCGTTATACAAGGAAGAGAGAAACGCAGGAACTTACCCATTCTTTTGAGTACATTGGAGGGTGCATTCAGTCGTAGTTTGAGACTCAACGCCGTGAGTCTGTGAAAGGCTCTAATGTAAGACAGCCTTGAATAATTGACTGGGTTTAGCGTCCTTTGATATTAGTGCAAAATCAAATCCACGATGCTCTCTTGGAATATTCCTTTTGAAATCGCTGCCTTGATCTCCTCTGACAGGTCTGCAATTTTTAAATCTTAATACAAGTTTTCGTCCTCCGTGGCTGCTCAGCTGGTTAATTGAAGCTCACGTTTTCCTTTTCCGCAGCTGTGGCTTCCTTTAGTCCTAACTTGTTGATGGCAGATGGGTGGCTTATTGCTGAGAGAAGCTCCTGTAGTAGCATGAGTGCATTTACTGAAAAGCTTTTCAGGGAAGCGGTACAAGAATGGGTTTGCTTATGCGCTGCGACCACACAGGGCTCTATATAGGCTGACGTCACCTGGTGACGTTCCTTTTGTTTGGGTTTTCCAGAAGCTTTGCTGTTTTAAAGCATTGTGCTGCATACTGTGATCGTGTTAAAGACCACTGATAGAGGGAGGAAAAAATCCATCGGCAAGAGTCCTTCGTCCCTGCGGTAGAAGGAGCAGAGCAGACTTGCTCCCCCCTGCTCCCCCCACATCTGCACTGGCTCTGCTCAGCTGGGGTTAAAAGCAGTGCAGAGCTGCGGGTGGAAGTGCCTGAGTGCTGGCTGCTCCCAGTTTTCTGCTAAATATCCCTGCGTGAAAGGAACTTTTAGATGCGAAATGCGCACAGTTTGAATAGAGGCTGCTGGTCAGCACCGGCTTTGATGGAGGTGAGAGGGTCTGGGCTGCTGAAAGCTCTGTGGAACAGCTGTGTGTGGCTGTGGTCCCTGCAAAACTGGCAGAGAGCAGTCGAGTGGCTGAGGTGGTGTGTCAGAAGTACAGCCCAGGAGCAGGGGACAGGAGCGAACGCTTCAGGCGAGAGGAAATTTCTGGAAAAAGCAAAGCTTGCATTAGGGCACAGGAAAAATTTAATTGGAATCCAGCTTGACAGTGTGTGGTTATGAAACTAGAAAATCTATTTTCTCCTCCCAAACGGTGCCTTTTGTACTCGCTTTTTCCTGGGGACTGGAGTGCAGGAGAGGAAATGGTGAGGTTGGCATTCGCCGACGGGGCTCGGAGCAGTGCGAGGGCTGCCTTCTTGTCACCCTGCATCCTGTGTGTCTCCTGTGAATCGGGGGACACTGCTCCCGTTAGCCCCTGCCTGCAGGGTAGGTCCGTAGCAGTTACCCTGTGGGGTTTAGCGTTGCAGAGGTGTGCATTTGCAGGAGCAGTGACCCTGCAGAGCTGTGTGTGCTGGTCCAGCCCAGCCGGGCTCTGGCCGGAGCGTGCACCCACAGCGAGGAGGAGATGGAGAATGGGCTGATACGGCTTTTTGCTTGGTTTCAAAGTTCATTGTCCCCTTATTCGGAGCAACCTCTCCTTAGGGACAGCTGGTACTGAAAGGTAAATTAACAGGCTTGATTGAAATTTTTATAGGTTTTTAGGATGCATGTGCAGGAAAGCCTTCGGAGCAACTGCTCTGGTCATGGCTTGATGTGGATGAGACAGGGGGATGCTGGCTTTCCATTCCAGGCAACTTGGATGAGCTTTTTTTATTTTCACCTTGAGATGTAAAGCAATAATGTAGCAGGAGGCACTTGAAAACGTTTGCTCTGTAATGGCAAGCTATCGCCTTCAACCTCTAAGGTATGGAATGAGCTGAGAATAACAAGCTTCCCATGCTGATGGAGGAAGATGAATTGTGTCTAAAGAGGGTTTTAAAATAAAATGGCTGTTTACCTTTGTTATTAAGTGTTGGTTCTTTGCTTTGGTTCCTTAGAGGCACTTGCTTAAACTAAGACTTGCTGTTTTCTACCTGCTTCTCCCTTGGCTGTCCCGTGGTGGAATGGTGACACTGCGTGTGGTGCTCCCTTTCTGGGGTGGGCAGACTCAAAGGGAGCACTAAGTGGAAAGTAAAGGGATGGAGAAGGTGGACTCTTTATAAACAAAAAGAATAGAAAAGGAAAACCTCAGACCCACCCAAAAAACCTAAAGAAAATGAATAAACCCTTCCCTGAACCCATCAGGAGAGTAACTGTCTTTAATGATTAAGCAAATTAGGAAATGTTAAATACGTCTTAAATTGCTCTGCCATAGTAAATGTTTTCACATTTGCTCTAGGGTGAAAGAAATACATGCAAAGAAATTACATAAACCTCTTTGAAGAGTTTGTTCACATTCAGTGTTCACTGCACAAAGAGCACAGGAGCTGAAAGCCGGGCTCAGCTGTCCGACGGAACCTCGGGGTACCTGCGGCTGGGCTTCCTCGAGCAGCTCATCTGCAACATCCTCATCTGGAGTGTTGGTTTGAATTTTAATAGCACTTCAGCATGTTAACATTTAAGGTGTTCCAGAGGGTGTAATTTGAGGTGAACTGTTCCCCCTCTCCTGCGCTGCCTCTTTTCGCTATTACCAGGAGGCTGAAATGAAGTATCGTTGGAAACGTTTTGCTTTTTTTGCAACAGTATCTGTTGGTAGGTTCCTCCCATGTTAAGATTGTGTAATTTGGCACAGAGTTAAGAGTTAATGTTCAAACACGGTGAGTTGTTTCCTTTCTGAAGCTCCCTATTCTTTGGCCCTTAACCAAACAAGGGCTATTTAGCACCTTGCCAGCGAGTTTCCTGTTTAGGAAACTGTTAACACGAACTTTATGGGCGCTTTTCTTAGCGAGATGGGTTTTTATGTGCACTTGTTGTGAAATAACAGTTATTACCACAAGTGTGTATCTGAGTCTCTGAAGTCTGGAACTCTAATGTAACATTCACATTGTTCCCTGGGAGCTGCCTAGGGTGTCAAGGTGTAACAGGCTGGGAATAAATCCCAGCTGCCCAGAAAACTCACGTAAATGTGTTTCTTCTGAGACTGGAAACTCACTTGCCTGCCGAGGAAAAGCACGTCTGAGTGGCATCTGGGGACTTCTGCCACCACAGGAGCTCTGATGTGGCAGCCTGAAGCTTCACATGCGATGTGGAGAGGCAAATTGGCATGTCTGCCTCAGGAATAAGCTTGCTAGGACCAGATAACCCTTTCAGGGGCTTCTCACTTACCCCACTCCTGGAGCAGCAGCAGAACTGGTTTTCCTGCTAAATCCATGCGCTGGGAAAGTAGAATTGCACCCTGAGGCTGGTGTTGTCATTTAGTTAGGCTGACATCTTGTGGAAGCCTTCCTAGTGTATTAAGAGCAACAAATAAGCTAATTTTACTTGATGTAGATGTGGGCTGTGTGACTTTGCTGTGCTGGGGGCCTGGAGGATGCAAGCCCTGGAGTTGCAGGTGATGGGTGCCCAGGATGTGCAACCACGTGTATGGCACCATGCAAGCATCCAGCTCACCCTCTGCCTGGAGGAGTGGCTGTGGTAATTATTGCTGGACTTTGGCATGTTAGAGACTGCGGGAGTATTTGCTGGTTTTCTGCCAGAAGACAGTGTTTGTGCTGTGTCACAGGGCTGTGAGGCAGGGGGGGAGCAGGGGTGTGTGGCTGCAGCATTCCCATGCACGTCCTGTCACTGGGATGTGCTGCCTTGGGGCTGGGTCACCAGGGAGCCCTGAGAAGTGGGCATAGGAGAAAAAGACATGTCTGAGGTGATCCAGCAGCAGCAGATGTGTCCAGAGAGGGCAGTGGGAGGGGTGGGACAGGGCACCATAGGTTGGGTGTCCTTGTCTTCCTGGGAGCAAAGGACATGTGTGCTGCCATGGAGCATGGTGGCTGTCACCATGATGTGCCATGTCACCTCCCTGTCTGGCAGCTGTCTACACCTGGCACTGGTTGCACATTTTAATTCCTCCTTGTACCAGGGTGAGTGCAGGAGCCAACCTTCCCCTCTCTGTGGGCACAGCGGGGAGTGTGGGACCACTGTGGGTGCAGCCTGGCTGTGGGGAGGGACAGTGGGGTGGGAGTGGTGTAGCATGGCCAGCTGTGCAGGAGGGACAGTGCAGGCATCTTTATTCTCATTCAGGTTCTTGCTGACCCCTGGATGATGCCATGCAGCCCCAGTGCTTGGCTGAGCTGTGGGCTCACCGTGGGAGACTCCTTCCTGCAGCAAACCAGTGTACAGTCCAGCTTCCTCAACCGGCAGAGCTGGGATGTGAAAACACTGCTGAAATTCCTGAGTGTCATACTTCACTGCTCACCCTTCCTGGCCTTGAATCAGCACTGTTATATCTGGAATTTGTTGGCAGCCCTGCTGTCAAGGTGATGGAGGGGTGTGGATGGTTGTGCTCTGTAGACATGGAATTAGGCGAGGTGGCAAGGTAAAACCAAACACGAGGCAAAATGCACCTGAGCACTGAATCTCCTGCCTCCCCACGAAGCTGAACTCGGTGGGAGCACACTGACATAGCACTGCCTGCCCAGAGGAAGGTGTGCCAAGCACTCATTTTTCACTTATGAAATCCCCATCATTAACCATGGTGCTGCCTCTTGTACTGACAGCCCAGAAGACAATTCACAGATCACCTGAAGCAGAAACCCCTCTGCAAACCATCTTTTTTGGGTAATTGTGTGGTGGGCGGCAGGTGGGACAGTGAGAGCTCTCAGTCACGCAGCAGTGGCACATCTGGCTCACATCTGGGTGCTGGTTGGGGGGGAGGGATGTTGGGCTCTGCAGGGATGCTGTGAGGGCTGGTGCTGGGCAGGAAGACTGTTTCCCTCAATAGCTCTGTGGGTTTAGCTTAACCCAAACTGACAATGAACCTTTGATATTAACACTGGAAGTTTTTGGTATTTAGCTGCAAAACCATGTCTTTGAGTAACTCATTGCAATTCCTGTGCTGCTGGTCCTGGTGGCATGAACTGCCACTGCTGTGCTCTGGTACCTTTATTAAAGTTGGGATTGGGTTCTATCAGTAGCTATAGGAAAAGGTTCTGGTCTTCAGTTGTTTAAATTCTGCTGGCACACCTACAGCAGGAGTGCTTTGTGACAGAGGTGATGATTCCTCTCCCCTCCCTGTATGCAAATCCCCTTTCTTTGCTTTGAGCCACTAAAACAAGCCCTGCTGGGGACACTGGTGTGAGCTGGGATTGAAGGGATGTGACAGGGAATGCTTGTGTGCTGCTCTCCAGTCAGGGCAGCAATGGTGGGGGAAGAGCAGAAATTACAGGGGATGGGGGAAAGAAGCAATTTTTAACACCAATTCTATTCTCTTTGATAAAGATCTGATTTAATTTAAAGTAAATTTGCACTGTGGCTAAATTTATTATCCATGATACTGGACAGAGCTGGGGTATCATTCTGCAAAATGATTGACGTGGTCATCATGACCCTATTAAATCTACTGAATCTATTAGCTGCTCACTGACTGCAGGGCTTGTGATTCCCTCAGCAGCGTTTTGTGCTGAATATCTAAAAATCCTATTAGGAATCTGAATATTCAGGCTTTGCTATTGTGAGTCCTAGTAATCCCATGGATAGGAAAGGATGAGAGCTGGGCTGTGTTGTGCTGTGGGTCATTAGCTGGCTCCTCACTGAAGGTTTAGAAATGAGGACCAATTTTTTAATGGTAAGGCTAATTG